TCTTCATACAGCCCCTACAGCGTTGACCACTTCTGCAAGATCTGGCAGACTCTCCAATATTTCCCTGCTGCTGCCTCCTCATGCCTGTTAATATCCTCTTCACCCCAACTGTCTCTTCCCAGAATGAACTCCCCTTCCAAAAGGGTAACACAAGATGGTCATAGTCACTCAGCCATCTCTGCTCCCTTTGCCAGTATCTGGTTACAGACTACCATACAGTGCAGGCAGTTCTCTGCCTGTCCCTAAAAATCTGAACTCTCTGAGGGCAGGCAGAGTAGGAAAAAAGACAATCCAGAAGTTATTTTGCCATTTTAGAACCCTGCCTCCAGCTATGGACTTTAGCAAGCCACCGAGCTACTCTGAGCCTTGGTTTTCCATATGTAAACTGGGGATCATAATGCCTGCCTTGTAGGATTGAAGATGTATTTTGCTAATGTCTAGTTCAGTGGTCCATAATCTTTTTAAGGCACATAAATGCTTGCCCATTTTAAATCTCAGGAAAAAATTTCAGTATATAAAATAGCTCTGTTGGCAGTAGAGATGGAGAGAGGGGAGCTAGGACTACTCTACCAAATATTGGGAGTTCAAAGAGTCCAACATAAAAGAGACCTGGTTCCAACTCTGACAGCCAGTTCTAGAGCTCGCTGGAAATGCCACAGCAGCAAGAGGAGGTGGATGGATTGTTTGACAAACTGGCATCAAAGGTGGGTGTATCTCTAAGGGAGAAAGAGGTGGGGGTTAAAAGTGGGGAATGTGCCACATGTGAGAGTGCCCTGGGGACTCTCAGAGGACAAAGATGCCTCTAGGTACCCACTGCCTCACACTAAGGACCCCATGCCGACTTCCCACAGGAGGACGAGGAAATGAGAGACTCCTTGCCATGGCTGCCTCTCATCTGTTTAACAGACATACTGTATTTTCTGTTCTTCCCACAGAAAGCCTTGCCTCACCTTGCACCTGCCAGCTGCAGTGCCCTTTCCCTAAATTCTGTCTGTCCAAATCTGGCTTGCCCTTTGAGTTTACATCTCATCACATCTGGGAAGCTTTCTGTGATTGAACCCAGCCAAGATCAAGAGTAGCATTTCCTTCCTCTGGCCTGTAGCATGGGGGTGGGGGTACAGAGGTTAACAGCATGGGACTCAGTTTATCCATCTATAAGATAAGAGTTTGAAAATTAAGTGAAGTGATGCAAATAAAGCACAGCACAGCCATGGTGGCGCACACCTTTATCACAGCACTTGGGAGGCAGAGGCAGGCGGATCTTTGTGAGTTCAAGGCCAGCCTGGTCTACATAGTGAGTTCCAGGACAGCTGCTGGGGCTACAGGGAGACCCTGTCTCAAAAAGACAATAATAAATAAATAGATAAATAAATAAATAAATAAATAAATAAAGCACATAGTAGGTACTCACCAAATAGCTGCTCATTATGATATGATTGCTTGTCTTTCAAGCTCTGGCACACAGTAGGTGTCAACTGAGTGCTTACCTGAGTGACCAGTAGGTGGCCTCACACCCTCGTTAACCTATCTTGCTGGCTGCCAACTCCTCTGAACCCCAAGAAACTGGCTTCCTTGAGTTAACACCTCAAGGGGTAGAGGGAAAAGAGGTAGAACTGACAGTGCTTGGTAGCTGGACTCCCCAAAGCCTTTGAGCTTAGCCATCTCTCTCCATCAGTCCTAGTCCACCTTTGTGAGAGGTTTCTCCCATTTAAAAGATAAGAAAATTAGCTGGGTGTGGCAGGCAGATCTCTGTGAGTTGGAGGCTAGCCTAGTCTACAAAAATAAAATAAAATATAAGAAAATTAAGGCCTAGCAAAGTGCACGGTTTGCCTGAGACCACAGGGCATTCTTCCTAGTCCATCAAGTGGTAGCAACATGTCTGCCAGGCTTCTGGAATAATCTGGTCTTGCTTAATCAGCATCCTATTTCACTGATAGGGGAACTATCAGTGAAATGAGATAAGGTCGTCTGGTTCTAACCCCATCCCTGACACAGGGTATGAGGTAGGCTTCCTGCCTGCTGACTTTGATTCCAAGAAGTACGCAGGCTGGCTGCTCAATGGGCTGAAAGGAAGATTTTTTTTTAATATTTTGTTTATTATTTTTATGTGTTTGAGTGTTATGCCTGCATGTAGGTAAGTGCACCCGTGTCATGCAATGCCTGCAGAGGACAGAAGAGGCTGTCGGATCCCCTGGAACTGTAGTTACGACAGTTGTTAGCTGCCATGTGGGTGCTGGGATTCGAACGGGGATCTTCTGCAAGAACAGTCAGTATTCTTAACTGCTGAGCCATTTCTCTAGCCCCCTAAAAGGAAGAATTTTACCCTGTTGGGTTTGAAGGCAGCTGTGAGGAGCCTCTAGAGCTACAGAGGTTCGGCATTAAAAAAAATCCATGTCTGGAGACAGTGACACAGTCTCCCATGTCTCCTCATGCCTGCCAGGGGGTAGTTTCAAGAGGTCTGAAAACATTAAGATTCCTACAGAGGCGCAAGCAGGCTGCATTCTGAGGCTCAGTTCTGATGCTGCAGTGGAAGGGCTGAAGCTAGGGTGAGGGCAGAGAGGGGCTGGTATAGAATAGCAATGAGCCAGACTGCTGGAAGCCAGCCAGCTTCAGGTTCTGAGGACAGTCCTGAGGCCACCCTCCTCCCCCTAGTATGGAATCCTTTACTAAAAGTTCCTAAAGAAATTGTTATAGAGCCCATGTATAATAAATGCTTGTGTTTCTGGTAGAGCTCATGTGAATATGTGGCTACTTGGCTTCTTAGCTCATCTGATGCCTACCATCTGATTGTCAGAGATTGCTCCCATTTCACAGGTTGCCGCACTGAGACCCAATAAGGAGTGTGACTTGGCCAAGCACCCAACCCCAGAATCCTAGCTTGTGAAAATTGTATCTAATGCCAAAGATCAGGGGGCCAGGTTCAGGGCTATGCTTGTTACCAAGCTGGATTCTTCATGGACTCTTAGAAGAAGCCAAGGAGACACAGGAAATAAGGAGGCAAACCTTCCATCTTCTTCTTTAACCACTTCCACAAAACCTCTCCCAGATTTAAGTCATAAGCTCCTTCCCCTGCAATAGTGATAGGTCAAGTGTGACCAACAAGAATCCTTTCTTGGGGCTGGCAGGAAGACACTGGATTGAATGAAAGCACCTTCCCAAACTTCTGCAGCTGTGGAGAAGGTGGGTACAGCAGAGAATCAAGGCCAGCCCCAAAGAGAAGCACAGATTGGCACAGCTAAGGTACCAACAGAGTCCTAGGGCAGTTTCTCTGTCACTGATACTCTGGTCTCAGATGTTCTATCTACAAACCCTATAACTTTACTGTCTCTGGGATGCATCGATACTGCCCATTACACCTTTTCCTTCTTCCTACACATACTTGTGTAGCACTTGGAGAGTAGGGGTGCCTAGTACATGGAGCATGTCTAGCCCCATTAGCCACCGTAGTATTCTTTGCTTTCTCCCTCATAAATGTAAACTCCACGATGTAAGAACTCTGCCAAAGCTTCTACTGCTGCCTACCCTGTACCTAGCACAAGTCTCAGGCACAGTGGGGACTTGGCAGCCAAGTGAGAGAATTTGTCTGTACCCCATGTGCTATACCCACGTGGCAAATATTTCACTAGACTTAGAGAGTACACTAGGAATGTTGGCCTGAACCTGGGAGTGAAACCCCATTAGTATGGAAGGCCTGATTTTCTGGATGAAAAGTCCCAGAGGCAGATGTGGGGCAGGACTGAGCTTCCTTCCCCTTAGACTACTCTAAGTTCTTTCCTTCCAGACGGATAAAGATATTACAGCAGGTAATGGGGGCTGGGTAAGCACCGTGTATCAGGCTCTCTCTTAAAAGTATTTCACAGGGCCCCTTTCTAGAAAATGAAATAGATGATAAGATTTCATCTGCATTTCATCTTTTATTTCATGTGTTTACTGTAGCATCTTTCTGAAATAAAGTAATAAGTGAATTTTTGCAACATTAAAAAAAAAAGTATTTCACAGGGTTGGAGAAATGGCTCAGTGGTTAAGAGCACTGACTGCTCTTGCAGAGGACCTAGGTTCGATTCCCAACACCCATATGGCGGCTACAAACCATCCTTAACTCCAGTTCCAAGGGCATCCGAAGTCCTCTTCTGACCTCCCCAGCATGGCACAACATGGTTGCACTCACATACATGCAGGCAACACACTCATATACATAAAAATAAAAATAATAAATAAAATATTTTTTTAAGTATTTCACAAATGTCATCTACCCAAATCCCCTAGATGGCACCATAAAGTGGGCACTCTCATCTGCAGTGCACAGTTGAGGAAATAGAGGTGAGGGAAGCGGAGGGACTTGTCCAAGGTCACCGGGCTAGGAAGCCACAGGGCGTACTTGCTTGCTAACATCTTTGTGCCCTCCCCGATGCCTTGAAGGAAGAGGGGCAGCTGAAGAGGAGTGAGCACTGCCTGAGCCAGATGAGCTCTTAGAAAACTGAGAGGTTTCAAGATTGAAGCTGGGAAGAAATGCCATGGTAAGGGCCCCCTTGAGGCTGCCTGCAAGGGCTCCTGAGGGGTGAGGGTGCTCTCTTGCTGGAGTAGTGAAAAGACAGTCTTCCAGCATCCCACCCCTCCCCGATATTCTCACTGCCAAATGAAATCTGGCAGCTTCTGAAAATAGCTCAGTGCTGCAGCAGGCACTCTGCCCGCCCTTCAGCAGGCTGGCACGCAGCTGGGGGTGGCCACTGTGGGCAGACGCTGGCACACACAGGGCTTGGGGTAGGTGTCACACACACAGTGCACAGGGGTGGCACAAAACTGGGGGCATGTGGCAGCTGCCATCCTTCAGCCCCTCTGACCTTTCAACACTGAGTACAGAGTGCTGGAATCAGCCTGGAATGTTTACTAAGCTTGAGGTACCCTCTCCAGCAAGGGTGAATTCACTAGTGGAGTGAGCACCTGCCCTTTGGCCACTTTTGTTCACCTAGGCAGAGAAAGAGAAACCCAGGAATCAGAGAAAAATGTCAAAAAAGATGTTTATTAATATCAAGATGTAAAACCCAGTAGCACTGTCCAACCTGTCATGATTTAAGGTTTCCCAGCCTATCAGAAAGGCCAGGAGCCAGGAACTAGGCTGGGTGTCAGGCACTTGTCAGGCCACCTATCAAGCCCTGGGCACCTGGAGGGCTGACTAAGCCTGGATCAGCCAGGAAGGACCCTTTCTACTCCAACCCAGGCTAAAGCGGGGACCAGATCTTGTAAGCATGGCTTACAGCAGCCCTCTACCACCTCAGGCTGACCTAGAGTACAGAAAGAGGCCCCTGGTTAATGGGGAGCTGAGCATCCCCTTTCACAAACGTATTCCAAAGGGTAGCCCTTGCTATCAGCAAAAAGGGCTTTTCTACCTGAGATCTAGTGAGCAGGAGGGGACGGGGGCTTTTTGTCACAGTGACATTTTCCAAAGTGGAAAAGGGTTAGATATACCCCCAACACACACACACACACACACACACGCACACACACACACACACACACATATGGATACACGCACACCTCCAGTTAAGATGAGAAGTTACTGTTTGGACAGGGTAGAGTGACAGGATGGCTAGGCCCAGGGACCCATGTGGGCTGGAGCTGCAGCAAGGCAGAGCTGGACCACCCAGGGAAGCAAGCAAGGTGGACCCTGCAGCCTTTGGGAGACTAAAGAGGGGTGAACCTGAGAGGGACAGCCAGTGTAAGAGCGACAAGCCTCCCTAAGAAGGCAGAGGTGGACTCTTGATTGGCCCTCCTCCCCCTCTTGCTCAGCATTCACAGACAGCAACATGGTCTCCGGTCACCATAGCAACCAATGGCCGGATGCCTTTCTCAAGGCCAGACCCATCTGCCCACACAGCAGGGGGTGTCTCTGTAGGAGAGGGAAAGCCCAGCCATAACTCCCTGTAGTCTAGAAGGCTAAGGCCACATTCCAGGGACAGAGCTGTGGCCTCACTCGCTAGCAGAGAGTTATTTCCACTATAGTAGAAGGCTCCCCAGCCCTTAGGCCCAGGAGAGCCTACTGAGCTTGGGCTGGGGCTCTCCATCCTGAAGTTCAAAGTGACAAATTAAAACAAAAAAAAAAAATCTTTTTGTTATAAAAATAACTCTGGCCCCTTCTGGCCAGAGCCTCAGCACACTGCAGTCTGTTACTGTCTCCTCCAAGGGTCCATGAGTTACTGGTTGTTGCAGCCTTGTGAGGCAGAGGAGCTGCCTGCTTGCTTTTTCCTCCTCTTGTTGAGAAGCCGGTTGTTAGAAGTCTTCAGGTCTTTGATCTTCACCTGGTCATAGTCTACCCGCATGGTGGCCAGAGCACTGGTCATCTCCTCCTGTCGACAATTAGTATGGGAGAAAGAAGAGATCAGGGTGGACTAACCTTAAAAGCCATCAATCTCTTGCCTCAGCAGCCTTCAGACTACACTGTGCCCTCTTCCCCCAATCCCCCCTGCCTAGCCCTGGGCCAATCCCTTTGTGTCACATAATCCTCCCTACAATCCTTTGCAATGGACACTGAGCTTACTAAGGCACAGAAAAGTGGTGACTCCCTGGGACCACACCAAGGCTATTTGGGACAGAGAATAGAACCAATGGCATTTGCACAAGAACCACAAGGCCCGTAGAGAATAACATTTCCCTGGGTCCCCAGGGGTCTCAAACCTTTAAATAGTGCCCTGGATATCCCAGGGCTCTGCAGTGCTATTTCACAGGGTCACATCTGATCTCTACTATATCTAAAACAAGGCTAGCTACCCTCCCAAATACTGTTGGTCATAAGAGTTTATGGGCAATTCTTGGACCCAAAACCCTTTCACTGAGTCCCTGGCTCAAAATTCCACTCAGTAAGGGTGCACCAACACTACCCTGAATGGCAAAGTACAGCAGCCCAGTTCTGGGTAGCATGCTCTGGTTGGACCACTGGGGCAGTCACTGACATCCTCTAGGTATAGGGGAGGAGCCAAACTCCAGAATCTGAGGAACTATCACTCTGGAAACCACATGGAGACTGAGGCCGAGTCTACCCACCTTGACTTCATCCCAGTGGTCTTTGTCCTCCTGCAGCACTCGGGCTGTGTGGAGTGGGGTCTGTGGCACCACCATCAATTGCTAGAAGGAAACCCCAAGCCCATGGATTAGAGCCTAGAGCTGTGTGGTAAAGCACAGGCTACCACCACCACATCCCCTTTTCCCAGTTTCAGATGGGGAAATGGCAGCTTGAAGAGGTGAAGGAGCCTGACTGGGACAGTGGCAAAGCCAGGCTACAGGTGAAGTGTACCTACACATCACCAGGCAAGCGCCCATTCCAGCCTTGTACCTGGGCCTCCTGAGCCACCACGCTCTTGCCCGGCAGCCCTATTCCAGGCCAACACCATGGAAGAAGTGCTCACATTGATCCAAGGATGGTTCATGAACTGCATGATGGTCAGTCTCTCTGTGGGGTCCGTTTTCAGCAGCAGGCGGATCAGCTCCTTGGCTAGGGAGCCCAGGGAAGAAGGGAGCAGTGAGTTATAGTCCTTCAACCCTTTCCATGACCACAAACTCTGTCAAACAGAGCTATAGGCACTCCTACCTTCTTCATCCACAGAAACAATGAGCTAACAACTATTTCTTTTTTAAAGTCACTAAATGTTCAGGATAATTTGTTAAGCAACAAGTGACAACTAATACAAGGCAGAATTATTTGTGGTCCCTAGAAGGAAAAACATGAACAAGGAACACAAGGAGTTCTGGGGAGGCAAGGTTTGAGCCCATTTGAAAGACATAGAAACTGAGGCTTGAAAAGGTTAGATGACTTGCCTAGGTTCACATAGCTTGGATTTGAACATGGGTCAGTTTGACACCAAATATCTCCTAGAATGAAGGTTAAAGGAACCAAGTTAGGCAGAGAGGCTCACTCACCATCCTCAGAGACCTCTGACCACTCAGGATTAGGGAAGCCATATTGACCCAGGCGAATCCTTCTTTTCATCCCTGGGGAGATGGCCTGGCCGGTGTTGGAGTAGAAGGGTGGGAAACCACACAAACTGAGAGAGGAGAGAGGTCAACTGTCATAAGAGCTGAACAGACCCATTCTCTCACTTTCACTGGAAAGATAGGTAGCCAGATATCACAGCAGCAATACCAGCTCTTTGGACTACTGGACATATCTAAGGAGCATCATCAGCTTGACATAAGGAGGCCTTCAGGCAGCCTCAAGGAGTATGTCCCATGCCAGAAATGAAGGTCAGCCTACCCAAGGGATGATACACACAAGTCCCTCACTAAGGACATGGGGGAGGGGAGTGAGACGCTGAAATGGCAGTGAAGGTACAAGGAAAAGGAGAAGCAGAGGTGAAGGAAGGGGACAGGAATGGTACTCACAGGATGTACATGATGACACCCAGGGACCACATATCACACGACTTGTCATACTTCTCTGGACCCAGGACTTCAGGGGCTGCCAGAGCAGAGGGCATAAAAGAACTCTCATCCATAAGGTCTTGGGGAACAGAAAGGTGTTTGAAGTCTAGGCAAGGTGAGGAGCAGGTACCCAGGCTGGGATGTGGGGCAGAGCAGACTGGTGTCTAGCACCTTCTGGGAAGGCATGTGTGTGAAGTTGGGGGAGAGACAGCTCCCAGAAAAAAAAAAAAAAAAAAAACTGCTTTCATACAGCCCCCTAGCTACTTTTGGACCCCTCTGCCAGTCTTAACTTGGTAAGAGAGAGGAAGGGAGAAGGCCAGCTCAGAATTTGGTAAGGTCCGGCCATTGGTAAGAGAGCCTCAGCCTACCAGCCATGCTGTGTCCCTTGTCTCCCTGAATGTATGGCCCAGATCATAGGCAAGGAGGAACCGGGGCAGGGCGGGGATCTGTATTCCACTGTCAGCTTGAATACCCACCCACTGGTCTCAGTCTTCCCATCAGCACAATAAGGTCAGCAGGCCAGATTTTACACTAAAGTACTGCAGAAAACATCCTGGTGCCATTTTAGCCATCTCTGGGGCTTCCCACCCCCATTATCGCCTTACTCTAGGGGAAGGGGCTCTTGCTACAGGGGTCTTTTCGAATCATGAGGCTGCCTAGAGCTTTCCCAGAAAGCATGAATATGTGTGTACCTCCTCAGGCTCCACACAGGTCCTGGCTCAAGAGACCCTTTCCTACAAGGCAGGTGACAAGTACCCCATATTCCTCTAATGGAGGAGAAAAGTCCCTGCCCATTTTCTGAATATGAATCCCAGGAAGATGAAAACTGGAGAAAAACAACCGCGGTTGGGCTCCGTCCCGAGCTGATGGCAGCCTTTTATCACATATATATTTAGAGCTGCTGTGATGTCATTCAGCTCACAGGCCGTAGCCAGAATTTTCCTGGATCTATTTTCAAAAGCAGAAGCTGAAGTTTGGAAGAATATTTTTGCAGTCTCCGGCCCCCCCATGTCACCCGCCTCCATGCAGACAGAGTGCTCCCCCCTCCCTCCTCACTGGGCTTTAACCCTTTAGTTCCCACAGCCTACTGGCTGCCCCATTCCATAGCAGTGTATATATAGCAGGGGTGTGGGGAGGTGGCAATATAAGCCACATGCATAGGACTCACCCACATAATAGGGAGTGTAGCAGGGTGTCTGCAGGGCATTTTGAGTGGTCTCTTTGGCAAAGCCGAAGTCAGTGAGCTTAAGTACAGCATCCTTCTCCTTGGATGTATAGAGTAGGTTTTCAGGCTGGGCCCAGAAGAGAAAGAAAGCATTGGTGTAGTTAGGCACCAGGTGCAGGTGGGAACAGAGCCCCAAGGTGACCTTTAGTCAGACTTCCTTCCTCCATCCCAATGTACAATGAGCCAGTTCCACTTTATAAAAAAGACCCAGGCCTTGGTCACCAACAACACGGATTGGAGGTGATACCTTCATTTACAGAGAAGAAAGTGAGGCAGGTTCTCAGCCAAGGCTATGAATGACCATGTGCCATAGGAAACCCCCAAGTAGAAAATTCCATTCCTGCGATGGTATAAGCACCATGAAATGCCTGGAAGAGGTTGTGGTAGAAGGCAGACAGCTCATGAGCCAGTATTGCTAAGCACACATCCCACACCCAGCTCAGAAGACCCACAAAGCCAGCAGACCAGACCCACTTGAGGTTGCTTGGGGGAACAGATACCCACAACTCAGACCCCAGGAGCTGCGCAGAAGCAATCTTCCAGGTTGCAAAGCACAGATGGGCCTGGCAGATGGGGATAGCCAGCAGGGCTCCATGGAGGAAGCAGCCCTGCAGCTAGCTTTTCATGAACAGGTAGGCTCTAGGCCCATGCTGAGGAGCAGGAGGGATGCCCAAGCAAAGCTTGGGTGGAGGGATAGCACTCAAGTTTGGAGCCAGTGGGAGCTATTTCTCAGGTTCTATTTGAGATGGTCTGACCTTGGATTGGAATAAAAACGGAAAAGCAGATTTAGCATGTACAAAGGCATCTGCTCTACAGAAGGCTTTTCTCCCCTCAGGAAAAAAGAGAACTTAGGGCTAAAGTAAAGCAAGTCTTTAGAAGGTAGACCTGTTTTGGCTCTATATGTTTCCTGAATCAAAGGGTAACTGTATGGGCTGGCAGTACTCAACCAGCAGAAGAACCGGACACATTGGCTAGCTTCTCAGCTATCCTAGACCCAGGCTTAAAAGGAAATAAGCCAAAGGCAGAAAGACAAGGAGAAGCAGATTCTGTTCTAATAGTGGCCCATGTACAAATGCTGATGCATGTGCATGTAGGGCTGCCTAGGAGACCCCAGTTTTTCCAGTAAAGGACATTTAGAGCACTGTGGTTCCAAAATATCCTTCAAGCTTATCCCCTGGAAAGGCAAGCAGGCCCTGTTCTGAGACTACCTGGGTTCCTTCTTCAAATTCCAACAAAGAGCTTCTTTCTGTTCAAATGTTGGTGTTCAGTGGACTAATCTTTTTCAACTATGCATGTGATTTCATAGAAGACCCAACAGCATCAGGAAGGCCCTATCTAAAATGTGGCACATTGTATAGTCCTAAAACTTATAGCTAAGAAACGAAACAAATTGTGTGGGGCCTCAGTTTGCTTATCTGTGAAATGGATAGTGGCCCCTACCCTACAGGACCAGATGAGGATTAAAGGAACTGCCTATCAGGGCCTACCCACTGGCTGGAAGTAGGCAGTTATTCTCATTACTATTGGGATTACCCAGTGTTTGAAGAAAACAAGGAGGTCCATCTGGCAAGAGCAGAATGAGCATGCTGTACCATGGGAGGATAGACTGAGAAGAGCAGTCTGAGATGGGAAGCTGAGGCCCAGGAATTTAATGAGTACTGAGAACCATCAGGGGCTGTGACTGGGCGAGGACCTCCTTTCTTGTCCCCCCAGGTAGCTGCTCACCTTGACATCGCGGTGGGCGATATTCTGGCTGTGCAAGAACTGGATGGCAGTACCAATATCCCGCATTATCTCTGCAGCCTCTGCAGACACAAAGGAGGACACAATGCCAGTTAAAAGTCAGGTGGCCTGAGAGTTCCCAGCCTACCTTCTCTCGAGTATGGTCTGGCAAGCCAGCATAAGATAGCAGTGCTGCAACCCAGGCCTTTCATCCTAGATACCCACCCAGACATCCAAGGATGCTCATAGCCAACCCAGGCCTCTTTCCTCAAGCCTACATCGCCTTGTGTCAGTTCCATTGTGGGTCAGCACCAAAAGCCTCTGAGGCCTCCATCTCAGGGCCATGGACAATCCATTTCCAATAACATGTCACATACTCGAAGAACTCCTTGAGAGAATGGGACATTATGTTCCACTTCACTTTTGTTTCGATATGAAGATTGAGGTTCAGAGAAGAGCAGGCCTTGCCCAACATCTTATACCAACGCTAGTTTAGCCCTCTCACCCAACTCCCCACTCATTCCATGGCCTGCACAAACCTCTCTCAGTGAAAGCCTGGTCACCACGCTCTTGAATCCTGCTGAACAACTCACCGCCTTCCATGCTGAAAGAGAAGCAGAAAGGGAGAAAACTGGGCATCACCAACTTACCCAACCCTGAACCAGGGGCCTGAGCTCCTGTGCCATGGAGAAGCTGGAGAACTTAGAAAAGGTGGTGGGCCAGATCTTTGCCAGGAAGCTCCTATCTTTCAAGTGGTGCTAGCTCTGCCTGGCTGTGAGGTCTTGGGCAGCCCCAACTCTATCCAAGAGTGTCTCCCCAAGTGTAAAACAAGATGTCAGTTGTCAGTTTCATGATCCACTGCTCTCTGAGGGCCTAGTGTGTGCCATGCCCTGATGAGTGACTCTAGGTTGGTTCTTTCCCCTTTCTGTACCTCACCTACCTCTTTTGTTAAAAGAGAATAATAGCACCAACCACATAGAGTTATGAAGATTGACTCTATGATATACAGGGGGAACTTTGAAGAGTCAAGCTCAGAGTGAATGCCTTATTAAGCTCTTCCTCCACTTTTAACATATGAGTTACAGAGACTCAGAAAGATTAGCAGTTGCCCACAGTCCCACAGCTAGTGGGTGGCAGAGCTAGGATCTGAACCCCAAATCTGAAAAGCTAGCTAACCTGCAGAGGGAAGAAAGACTTAAAAGGCAGGCAACAGGAACCAAAGCCCAGATAGGGGACACAGTCTGAGGAAGGATAAGGCCGAGCCCCAATGCTGGTGGCAGAAATCCAAGGGGGGGCGGGCTCCTGGTTCCTGGTACCAGGCCTCATCACCCAACATCTGGTAGGGCCACAAACCCCATAGGAAGGAGAAAGTCAAGGGGCTGGGTGCATCCTGCTCTTTCCCAAAGCGTCCTGCCCATACACATTCAGGACATGACAGCCTTTTCTGACATCTCCTTGCTGAGTAGAAGTCTTGCCCAAGAAGGCAACAGAGCTATAATAGTATCTTTGCTGTCCTTCCAATCCCTGGTGACCAGCTCCACAGTTCCAGGGCCTGTGACTGCCCACTCCTCTACTCCTCTGGGGTTGGAATAGCACTCAGAGCTGCTAACTGGAGAAGAGGGAAAGTGCCAGGGATCCTAGGGACACAAAGACACCAGAGGGTTCCAAGGCAGGGTGCCTGCCTACCATTCCATGATGATGAGAAGGCAGCGCTTGCCATGATGCATGTTCTCATACACGTCCAGGATGCGCACAATGTGGGGGCCGCCTGAGGCCTGCCAGTGGTGGTCCACCTCCTGCCGGGCCTTGGGGCTGTCATACAGGAGCTGAGGAAGATAGGTATAGAGGGCATCAGGCTTATGACCCACAACCCTCATTCTGCTCAGAGAGGCCTGTGGCCTGCCCAAACACAGGGCATTTATCTATGAAGGACAGAATGAAAATTCAAATCCAAGTTTCCCTGCCTTGTGGTTCCATGAACTTCTAGTCCTGGGAAGAAGCAGCTTGGCCAATAAGTCTAGGAGGCCCTGGGAGGTAGGCGACAGGCTAGAGTTCAGAGGCCGGAAAAGTCCTACTTCTCTTCTCAGGGGCAGCAATGAATGAGGTTTGTAGTCAATCACATCAGCTGTGGGACCCCAGGCCAGGGACCACATATGTCTTGAGCCTCGTTTTTACAATGGATGATATGGTTGCCCAGTTATCCAGGCTGAGACTGGGAAGAAAAGTGCACAGGATGGCACCTGCCCATGCCAGGTGACTCCCCTATGCTCCTCATCCAGCATCTCTATGGGCCAGTAGGGGTGCTGGAGGAAGATGGAAGAAAAGAGATCCTGAGTGGCAAGCCTTCCCCAAGGCACAGCATAATCAGAAGGTCACTGGAAACAGATAAAGGTTTTCTGAGGACAGGTTGAAGCCTGTGTCCATCAATCTATCCTTCTTGGACCTGGCCCTGAATGGAGGGAAACAAGGCTGCACTTCTTCAGGAGCAAAGGTAATTAAGACGTCACATTCTCTTTGAATGGGCACAGGAAGGAAATTGTTTCTAAAGAGAAAATGTTTCTAAAATGAGTTGCTTGGGGCTGGTGAGATGGTTCAGCATGTAAAGGTGCCTGCTGCCAAGCCTGATGGCCTGAGTTTGATCCCAGGGCCCACAAGGTGGAGAAAATCAACTCTTGTAAGTTATCCTCTAAACACACACACACACACACACACACACACACACACACACACACACAAAAAGTGTGATCACCCGACGCACAAGGGGTAGAAAAACAACTCTTTTAAGATATCCTCTAAACACACACACACACACACACACACACACACACACACACACACACACACACCCCAAATAAACCAATTAAACGAGCTGTTTGGTCATGACCTCCAGCCTCCATCGTAACTCTGTAGGTTCCTTGGGATCTACTGTGCAGAGTTGAGATAATACTAGAGACAGAGTCATCTCAAGGTGACCTCACCCTCATCCCATGCCTACAGACCCCAGGTAATGACAGAGAGAGAAACTTGGGGTAGGAAGGATCCTGGTTGAAGAAAATGACAACAGGGTAGAACTGGATGTGGGTTTGGGATTGAATTCTCCAGTGACTTGCTGTGACCTCAGGCAAGTATGCACAGCTCTGAGCCACAGCCCACAACCCTATAAAATGAAGTAATAACAGAGTCATCTCCACAAGACTCATCACAGCAAGGCGGGCATTAGGTGGGCGAGTGTCAGGATCCTGCTCAGGTTAACAGCATTGGGCTGTGGCTGCCTTCAGTAAAACTGATCATCGGAAATGAGCAAAACTCGAGTGAGAGTGCCTGGGGAGTTGTGTAAGGAGTCAGCACACAGGGGAGAGGGCCAAGAATAGGGACATCAGGAACCAGTCACCCCCCTCCAGCAGGCTTGATCCTTCAAGGACCAGCCTAAATTGAGTCAGACCATCTCTGCCCTGCTCAGCACCTGCAGGACCCTAGGACTCACTGATCTCAGTTTCCCCATCTGCAAGATAAGGAGAGCTAGGCTTCCCAAATTACTGGTGAGGTCTGCAGCAGGGCACCAGCTTCTTTCTCTCAGAGCTAGGGATATTAGCTGAGTCTCTGCAGTCACAATGCACCTCCACTGTGCCCTGAGCAGCTGTAGCCAGGATATCCTAGTTCTCAGCAATAGGCTCTGAGATGAACCACTGTCTTCCTTGCATCTCTTTTCCTTAACCTTTGTACCTCCTAACCTTCCCTCTCCCCTAATTCTTGCTCTCCCATTCCCTTTTCCCCAGGTTGACCTGCCTCTTGTCAGGTCTCCCAGGCTGACTCCAGACCCCTCCTCACTCTGCCTCCCTCTGGTACTCATTTCTCCCTAATCCCTCTTTCTCCTCTCATAAAACCCCAAACCCAGACCTGGAATGCTTTCAGCAGGGTTGTTAGCTCTACCTCTCCCCCCTGACCTGTGTTCTCTTTTCCACAAGTCCTTTAGATAAACAGCCTCTGCCCCAGGCTTGTTTTCCTCACCCACCTTATGTCCTACTGGCCCCAGCCCCATTTTGTCCAAGTCTGAAGGTTGCACTTGCTATTCCCAAAAAGGGCTCCTCCCTCTGTTCTACCAGCCAGGTTAGAAACAGATGCAGAACAGAGGCAGGTCAGGTGAACTGGGGTTCCCTGGCTGGAACCTAGCTGGAAATACTGGGCTCCTGAGCAAACAAAAAGAGAGATGGCAGGGACTGGAAGAAAGGAGGAGGATAGCCACAGAGAAGCTATAGAACCTCAGAGCTGGGACTGATATGAGCTGGGCTGAGCTAGAACAGGCAGAGCAGCTCTGAAATGAAGCCTTGTGATACCCCTACCCTGCTTCATCCATATTTAGAAACCCATTTCCCACATAGACTAAAGAGTCCTTTAGTACCATAACCCTCAGATAGGCACAGGCACAGGAATGGCTGTCGTCAGAAAACACAACAGATGCTTCCTCTGGCCTTTCTGCAGGTGAGATCACAGGGGTCAGAGCCCTGGACTTGGGCCCACTCAGGCCCAACTGCCAAGAAATCTCCTGAGTTGACACCTTGACTTGACCCTAAGCATAGCCATAGCCTCAACTCTGTGTATGGAGTCAAAGGTTGACATGGGGGTGACATGGCTTGCCTTTCTCTATTGCTCTCCACCTTTTAAAAAAATATTTTATTTTTTACTTTATGTGTATGCATGTATTGCCTGCATGTAGGTAAGTGCACCCATGTCATACAATGCCTGCGGAGGACAGAAGAGGCTATCGGATCCCTGGAACCGGAGTTACGGACAGTTGTTAGCTGCCATGTGGGTGCTAGGATTTGAACTGGGTCTTTGGCAAGAACAGCCAGTGTTCTTATCCACTGAGCCATCTCTCCAGTCCCTTAATCACTTTTTTAAAAGAAAGATTTGTTTTTATTTTATTGCCTGCAGGTACTGTGTGTATGCCTGATGATTAGGGAGTCCAGAAGAGGGTATCAATTCCCTGGAACTAGAATGAATTATAGATTGTTGTTAACCACCATGTGGGTGCTGGGAACCAAATCCTGGTCCTCTGTAGAGCAGTAAGTGCTCTTAACCAGTGAGCCATCTCTCTATCCCGACCACCACCACCTTATTTTTTTGAGACAGGATCTCTCAATGAACCTGGTGTTCACTGCTTCTGCTACACTGGCTGGCCAGAAAGCCCCTGGGATCCACTGCCTCAGCCCCATCCCAGCAATGGGGTTACAACCAGTTTTCCATACCCAGCTCTTACATGGTTGCAGGAGATTCCCAATTCAGGTGCTCTTATGCTTACACAGGAAGCAGTTTCCCCAATGAGTCATTTATTCAGGCCCCTAAATCTGTTTTGTTTTGTTTTTTTAATTGTTATTTCTTTGGTTTGTTTCTGGTTTTTGAAACAAGGTCTCATGGAGCCCAGGGTGGTTTTGAACCTACTATGTAGCTAATGGTGTCTTTGAACTCCTGATTATCCTGCCTACATCGCCTAAATGCTGGGATTACAGGCTCGTGCTATCACACTTGGTTCATGCACTTCTGGGGATCATACCCAGGGCTTCCTACATGCTAGGCAAGCCCTCTACCAACTGAGTTACATCTCGAGCTCCCAAATATCTTTAAACTTCAATTTCTTCAACCATCCCCACAACCAGAGCTTCCTCCCCCTGTAGGATTCCCCTTAATGTCACCTCCTTCCAGAAGCCTTCTGTGCTGGATAGCTTTAGTGTCAACTTGACACACCTGGGTTGAGGGAGCCTCAATTGGGGAATTGCCTCCATAGGACTGGCCTGTGGCCATGTCTGTGAGGCATCTTCTTGATTGTTGTGTGATGTGGGAGAGCCCAGCCCACTGTGGGTGGTACCACCCCTGG